ACGGACAATCACTCATATGATAAGCTCCGCTCGACAAAGTCGACAGCGGAGCTAAAAAGCAGTAAGTGAATTTCCATTTAATATGTGATCTTGCGCAATGACTGAAAGACGCAGATCGATGGCCACGGAAATCTAATGTTTTGATTTTCTCTTTTTTTTTAACAGTTCAATGTCAAAATATATATCTTTCAGAGAAGAATATGGCATAGAGATACCCTTACTTCACCTAAATCGACCATCATCAAATGTGTATTGCACATTATTAACCAGGAAATACCCAAAACATATTTTTGTGTTTATCAACATGTTTTGAGGGAACTACAATGCTATGTCTGTTCTGTTTTACATTCGATTTCATGGGATCTTGTAGGTAATGAAAAAGGGTCTATTGAACTTTCAGGAAACATAGCAGTTTGACAGTTTTAGTGACCTGTTTATTAGGTTTCATTTTAATTAATTGCAACAATACAGAGGTTACAAATTGTAAAATTACAACTGTCTGCAAATCATGTACTAAATGGAGTTCCCAAAAAAAGAGAATGTTTCTACTTTCCGTCACTGCAAATCTCCACTCTGAATAATCATTATTCTGCCCAATTGAAGTGCCATTAGCTAGGCTCCTACATAAACATGCTAATCATGGTCATTATGTCAAAGCTACAAAAATGCAGTTACTGTAATTGCCCTATTAGAAGAACATCTTCAGTAAAAGTGCATAACTTTTGTGTTTGTTTTAGATTGCTTTTGTTTTACAGAGCATGGTAAAAAGAGACAGCAGGACACAAGTAAAATGTGAATATATCGGCTAAATTAATGTGAATATATCTGCTAAATTAATGTGAATATACCGGCTAAATTAATGTGAATATACCGGCTAAATTAATGCGAATATACCGGCTAAATTAATGCGAATATACCGGCTAAATTAATGCGAATATACCGGCTAAATTAATGTGAATATACCGGCTAAATTAATGTGAATATACAGGCTAAATTAATGTGAATATACCGGCTAAATTAATGTGAATATACCGGCTAAATTAATGCGAATATACCGGCTAAATTAATGCAAATATACCGGCTAAATTAATGTGAATATACCGGCTAAATTAATGCGAATATACCGGCTAAATTAATGTGAATATACCGGCTAAATTAATGGAATATACGGCTAAATTAATGTGAATATACCGGCTAAATTAATGTGAATATACCGGCTAAATTAATGAATATACCGGCTAAATTAATGCGAATATACCGGCTAAATTAATGCGAATATACTGGCTAAATTAATGCGAATATACCGGCTAAATTAATGTGAATATACCGGCTAAATTAATGTGAATATACCGGCTAAATTAATGTGAATATACCGGCTAAATTAATGAGAATATACCGGCTAAATTAATGTGAATATACCGGCTAAATTAATGAGAATATACCGGCTAAATTAATGTGAATATACCGGCTAAATTAATGTGAATATACCGGCTAAATTAATGCGAATATACCGGCTAAATTAATAAGTATAACTCTTGCACCACATTGTTAATACTGGTAACCATTTTTTTTTGTTTCAAGTATTATTAGGAGTGTGAAATTATGGTGGATACCAGATTCAATCGTAGATCACGTAAGTCACTGCAATGACAGATGGGTGGCAAGAACCTCAACTCGGTTATGCACATGTACATCTGTGTACTCAGACACCTGGATTCAGTTCAGATCACGACCCTCATCCATAACAATAATTAGAGCATCAATTGGGGCTTATTTGAGCTAACACCTAGCAAATGCAAAGAGAGCACCATCTACAATGCCCAACTGACATAATTTACTTATTGAGCCAAAAATACATTTTTCTGCAACATACAAAAGTTGCTTGAATCGTACGTACACTGTATACTTTGAACAAGTTTAATCAGACTATGTATATATGATATGAAAGAGCTTAATAAAAAATGATTCGTATACATTGTAACTTTGTGCTTTGGAATTTAACTAAAACAGTCTGGTGGAGAGGCCAGAGTACGACAAGTTATTTATCAGATTTCACCATAATTTATTTACTTTTACAAATGCACGTAAGCAGTTTATCATACAAGGAACGTGTATATTAGCACTATTTAAAGCCATTTTGCTAGCACCAAAACTATATTTTCAGTAGAGTAAAGTATCGTAAACATTTTTTTACAGTATGGCCAATATAACTGCTTTTCATACATGTAGTAAAAAATTAATAAAATTATGTTAAACGTTGTTCATAGGCATGCATGCTTAAAGTTATACAGTTTTTACTAGAAATCGATTAACTATAAGATAACAAAGAAACAATATATGTAGCACAAAAACTACATTGCAACTGCATTGCTTTGACCATGTTCCATGAACTTCTGATCATGAGGGTGTATACAGTGTGTGCCAGTCATGGAGACTGGTGTGTATACTATGAACAAGACATGAATGTCACAGCCCCCGTCCCTATCATTTATTTATAAAATACTCATGTTGAAATAATACATGGAACATAATAACTGATAACTTTTATTGACCCGGGTCCAAAATCTCAGAGTACATAAGTGCAACCAAAATATGTCTCATACATGCTCAAGAAACTGCATTCATAAATCTGAGTAACCCTTGATGTACCTTTAATAACAACTTGACTTCTTTGTTAATTCAGGTCTTTGTATATTACCAGGACCTGGGTTTGTTTCAGTATCACCAATACAATTTCCAACAAAATGTAGCCCTGACATGACCTAGCATTACAATTTTAGCTAATTATTTATCCTGAGCATGCTCAGTTGTTCTCTCAGTGGTGTTGGAAGAGGTAGTTTTGGATGAAAATTATGAAACAGACCCACTTAGGATTTTCAGATCTGGAAAAAAAATTACATGCATATTCGGCATAGACTTATTCATCACCCTGCCAAGTTTCATTGATATCTGCTGCAGAATTTCTGAGAAAATGTTAGAGACCTCACAGACGGAAACTGGAAATAAGAATTAATAGTCCACCTTTCAGGCTGCGCCTGAAACTGAGACTAATAAACCACAGATACATGAGGTGTGCATGTACTCTCCAGTCAGCAGATACATTATGATCAATTCTGCATACCATTGCCACAAATTGGACACACGCTTGTAAAAAAAAATATGAGAGTTGTTTCTGACAGAGAATGAAGTTAAAGGACTGAGATCATCGTGCAATGTCATGTTTGATATACTGTAGCGATGTAGACAATGATTTACATGCGTGACGACCATCGCCCTTTAATACAATCTCTGGATTTTCAGTCAAGCAGTTTTTACCTTCAGCAGTGGTCGGGGAATCATCACTATCGTCTGTTTCATTACCAACATTTCTGAGTACCCGGTGTAACCAAAAGTGTTCAAACTCCAAGGTTTCATCATCATCACCATCATCTTGATCAGCAACATCGTCATCAGCATCACATCCTTTACTTATTTGCTGTAGTATAACTGGGCACATTTCAACCATTTTGTGCCGATCAATGTCAATGTCACTGTCCATGTTATGAATCTGTAGAATCTCTTCTGATGTGTAGCACTGTAAGGTAACCATGATACAATTTAATATTTAAAGTCAGTCATTGCATTATGTTGTGGTCCATATCCATCCCATATATACATATACAACGCATGTTACCTTGATACATGAAAATCAAGACAAGTTGCAAGGTAAGCACAGCCAGAGTGAAATATACGAGCAATAGTATTTTCATAACATTTTTTTTTTTATATACGCGCATTGTAAACCCCAAGTAATGTACCTCTGACGACATATACATGTAGTTATCAGTAAATAAATAAAATATACACTAATTTCAAGATTTGGTGATTTATTTCATTAATTACTGATAGTTTGTAGTTAGTGTAAGCGATAATAGTTAAGGTAAAATGGCATCCTACAAACTCAACTTTCCACTATGAGGACCTCAAGGAAAAGTTCACTGGTAACAATTTTTGTAATTTAAAGTACACTTTCTGTAAGTCGAAAGAACTGATAGTTTGTTTGCTAGGACTACCCTAAATGTTAAGCTGAGACATAAAATTTATATTATTTTATCTATTTTTATTTTATTAGCAGACTTTTTTCTGATTTTCAGTACCGCGGGGTACTCTTAATTGGATTTAAGTACCATATTTGCTTTATAACGTTCAATCATGTGAGAACTTGATTCATTCAGTATCTGTCAGGTGGGCAAAACAAAATAAATCATAATGAATATGTTTGCTTTTTCTTGATTTGCATTCAATTAAGGTTTGCACATCAAACAAAAGAATTTGTAGTCAGAAATCAGAGGCTATTGTCATAAATAAACGAGACAATCAAGGTGATTCTCTGCAATAGAACTGCAAATGTGAAAACGAGAAACAGGCCATGCGAGAACACTGCCACAGCTGTGAGATTCAATCCTACAGACACCACATTTTAGGTTTAATGCATAGGTATATGAATTGTGTTTTATTCAAGGTGGCAGCTTGCTGTACAATAAGCCAAGGCTAGGTAGTATTATGACAATGCATTATTGTATACTTGTTACTTAAAGTAATAAATCATGTTTATTTGACATTGATACTTATTTAAGGCCTAGCAAAAAAAATATTTAATATTTTATTTACTTTCCTACAACAAAATAACAAATTTAGAAGAAATTTTAGGAACAAATCACATTATGAATAACAGTTCATATTATAATTATTAATGCAATGAATCATTTGCATCCACAAACTGACAATGTTGAAATGCATCAAGAGTACTACTGTATATCAGTGAGTGGTGGTTTCTCCATTTCATAAAACAAATAGCCACAAATAATGGTCAGGATCACCGTGGCTGACCACTCAATAATTATAAAATGGGTTTCAATTAAATGACAGTTTGATGGAATGGAAATATCAGTAAATTGAAACAAAAAACTAAAATTAAAAAGTTAAACAATACACACATTTTATATTGAGGGTCAACATTTAATGACATGAAAAAACAGCTATATCAAGTAACACTAAAACCTATTACTAAGACCTAAACATCAGCAATTTGCTGGTATTTTACCAAAATATTCGGCATTCCTACCCCTACCCTCCAATTTAATTGTACATGTATATGGCAAACAATAAGAAATTTCCCATAACACTAGAATGTCCTAAGCAAATTTTGAGACAACTCAACCCTTGCCTGTTTAAGTTATAACGGTTTTGTGAAGTTCAGTCTCTGGAGTACTGTAAAAGTTGAAAATTGGGTTCCAATTCCCTCAACACTAAAAAAAATAAAACTTCCTTTTTCATTCACAACATGGAACTAAAAACAAGTTTATTTTACCTTAATAAACAATTCAGAATTTGTAACTACGGGTAAACTAATGACTTGACAGCCAATCACTGCACATATCACACCCATAATTATTATTACGCTCCACAGCCAAAAGAAGTCAGCAGGCAATATTTTGGAAAGAGTCCCCTTTGTACCCTCTACCCCTGGTGGATGGACGTTTCGGCCCCAGACGTTTTGGCTCAAACGTTTTGAACCCCGACATTTCGGCCAAGAGTTTTGGCCAGAGCAGACGTTTCGGCCTTCGTAGAGTTCAATGGTAAGATGATCTTAGCCACAACGTGACTATGTATTAATTATTTATGAAACAATTGAATGCCGATATCACAAAATAGACTGTATTAAACATTTCTGCGGGGGGTTTTCTAGAAAAAAATTGCATAAGGGAGCACTGCAATTCACCAGCGCCACCAAGTGGGGGAGATGGGGTTCTTCCTACCAGGGTGTGGAGTTTTTGATAAAGTTAAAATGGAGCATTCTATGGCATCCTTGGGGGCCAAAATTACTATCAGACAAAATTACTATTCCTGGTCAATCAGAATAAGAATGCTGATATCACGTAATAGACCATGCAATCAACACATAACGATAGGTGTGAAAGAAAGAAAGAAAGAAAATCATAATGTCTTCTTATGCCATAAAAGTGGTAATTAATAACGTTGCTTTTTTATATGCTACCACCATTGTTTGCTTGATCTATTTGGGAGATATTTCTGTATGGCTTCATTGTGGGCAACTTTACTTATAACGCTAATTTCAAATACTGAAGATCGTTTATTTTACAGAAGAGAGCCATGGGCCGAAACGTCCACCCTGGTCAAAACTCTTAGCTGAAACGTCCAATACCAAAATATTCGGCATTCCGACCCCTACCCTCCAATTTAATTGTACATGTATATGCCCCTTCAGTTATCAAAAGGAATTCTTTGCCTTTGGTTGTTTTTGAGACCAGTAGCAATAAAAAAATTGAATGAAAAATAATAAATAGAATTGTTCACGCAGATTAAAAACAACACACTTAAAAGGAATACTGGTTGTTGCCTTCATCACGTATACACATAAACACATTGTATGCAAATTAGATGAAATTCGGTCAAGGGATGAACCATTATTTCTACAGGAGTCTGAATTTTATGGTAGATTACTATAGTCCACTGGGAAATATAAATAATTTTTACCACAAACAAGTTTCTTCTATGTTACTTTTTTTGCTCCAATGCATTTTAATTTCAGTGTCTGCCTTCCCCACCTCGTCAAAATAATGGTCAAACCCTTAGTTAGGATACACCAGCGCATTCATCCAGCGAAAGTACGTGCATTTATACACGTAATCACGGCGTACTTACCCGCGATTCCTTCTGAGTTGATTCCATAACGCCTCCCTTATTATGTAAGCCCCGGGACAGGTCATTGCCGCCTTGATCACGGTCGTTAACCGTGTCGTGACCGAGTTCTGTTTGTCGAGGATGTTCGAAAGATGGCGACGCAAATGCGTGATTTCGTTCAACAACATCACCCGCAACTTGACCAAGGTTACGAGACCCCACGCTGCCACGTTCAGTGAATTTCCCTAATAAATGCTGTAACTGTTTCACTGACAGAGTACCATCGCTACCATATTCGTTGATGAGATCGTCCAAAAACTCGTCCGGCGACGGAAAATAAGATTTTAGCTCTAAAGTGTTGTCTTCAAGTTCGAGGGTTAGTGATGTTGGCACCCACAGGATTAGAGACGTATAGAGAACGCCAAGACAACACATGGCAGCATTTGTGGGGTTCATCGTTCCTTATAAACACTAGTAGAGTCTTTTACAGAAGTAGCTAAAACATAAAAAAAAGGTCTGCCTAAAACCACGTTTTATACCACCGACACGTTTGGTTCAGCGTATAAAACTATGCACTTTGACCTCAGTGGTACCACATGACGAAGCCATGATTGGCTGGCAAGAGTTAACCACGCCCATTCAGACTTAATGTATCCGTGGCCAAGGATAGTAACAGCGTTTGCATTGTTCAATTCAAATAAACGAGTGTCTAGACGTAACAAACACTGACTCAAAGAAAGTCGAGGGAATCACAACAGTCACTTTACTGCTGGGATTCGTAATAATTAAATACTATTTTTAGTGTACAGTGATAAAACAAAAACATAATAATATTCCCTGGACTTAATCACCGTGCCCACTAAATCACACAAACTTGAATTCTACGCATCATTTTGTGTTTCATTGCACGTCTAGATATTCAACATGTAGTTTTTGTTAATAATCTGCTGCTATATCTCGAACAGAGCGAAGAATTTGGTGAATTTTCTTGATCGTACCGAGTTGAATATTGAAAATACACGGACACAAACTAAATGTGTTTTGTTCATTGCGGTCACTATCTCTGTTGTTGATATTGACCGCGTGCCAGAAGTTTTACAGCGTCCGTTGTTTGTGCAATCTCACTGCCAGGGTAGTGCCTCCGTCTGACAAGCTTTTATAAGTGTTTCAGTAAATTAATCCAAAATAAAGTTGCACGCTGCTCACATTAAACTGTCGAGTAGAATCGATTTCCCGCTGTAATTTGTATGACCTCAGAGGACTTATTACTGTATCCCACATTCGTACATATTGCCCTCTGGACCGGGTCAACATTTCATTGAGTGTCAGTGCCAATGCGTTGATTCGTATTACGTATTACGAAAACGTCGTAGCCAATAAAGTGTATTATTGTTTAGTATTTCATCTGTATTTTCCCCTCAAATTCAATTCATCCCAGGCTTTACAGAATGGAGTAATCTCCTTACCAATTACATAATCCTATTAACATACCCCGAGTTTATAATGGTTGACCCCTTGACGGAACTTATTTTAAATATGTAATTTGTGTGCGTAACTCCTCCCCGGGGGACGGGTGCTATTGCATACAGAACACTTACTATGTATGTATATGTTAGATATCTATTCCGTGTGTGGTTTGTACACCAACCATCCATTACATCTACGTACGGTCAGTATACTGGACGATTCAATGTGTGGATAATTATACCTCCGCGTTGGGAAGACAATGTAATTAAAATTAGGTGCCGTGGTCACATCTGTTGTGCCATATTGAAGTCAGTGTGATTGCAATTCAGTGCACATCTGTGTAATCTCAATTCTTCGTATAGTTGGTTACACACCACAATCACCGATGATGAGACCCGGTACACTGAGGACTCTGAAACAAAATCATGATATCCCCCCAGTGCGTATCATGACTAGAAAGTAATCTCTATAGTCATTGTTGTGTGCACGTTTTTTTTTTTTTATTTCTACTGAAATTAAAATTATAAAAGTCTATCGTCTCTAACAGAACAATTACGTAAATATTATATCATACTAGCAATAACTCCATTTTCGTAACATTTCCACTTCCTTACCAATGGTACATATAAGAAAATTACCACAAAATACACCCCGATTGCGGAAATGCACTTATCTACAGTATACCATGTGATTACATATTAATTTCCAACCAACGAATAATATAGCTGCTGGAAAACGTCCACAATTTTTAAATAACCTTACTGGATACCAGCAGTGTGGGCTTGAATTGATTTCATGATGCAACATACTACACATGAATCATTTATTGGCCTGTCACCAAGTTATTTAACCCACGTGACTCATTGCAAGCAACTGACGAACGGACTCGGTGATGGACAGACGGACTTTTGATGACGAACTTAGTAGTGCCATTGTTTTATGCGCATATGTAACGAATATATGTGAGTAGCCTATTGCCTTGGAGAAACAATGTTCCGGTCAAATTGTTTTTCAAAATTGAGGGGCACAAACAAGTTTTGCAGGTTTCAACATTTCGTTAACAGAGGGCGCTGTACAATACCGAAATACTTTGTCCTCCATGGCCCTTCATTTATATGATCTTCGCCAGCCATGGGACGGTTGTTTAGAGTCACCCCTCCCAACTAACCATATTGTTGGCGGAGTCGGCAATAAGTCGACACAAACAAACCGTGCGATTCGGACGATGCATGTATATGTATGTGCTCGGCTGATACCTTGCACATAGTATGCCACACAAAGTACATCTTCGCGCATTATGGGTTGCCGGATCGTTCATTATTGTTTAAATAAAACGATGATTAAACTACTAATATATTGGCAAGGAGGGTAGCCAGGATGTATGGTGCCTCTACAGTGTAGCCTGCGAATTCGAACTTCATAGCTGTTGCATTTATTACAATAAATTACTAGTATCTTTTAAAATGTCTTTAAAGGCTTCAAACACGACAATGGAGCTTAAAGTTTGATCCATGGTTTGATACAGTTCGTTATTGCGATGGGCGTACGACACCGAGGGCGAAATGACAGCAATACTAGCAGACACTAAACACCGACTAGATATATTTGATATAACGTATTGCGGAAGCAATATGCTTTGTGTCGGGAACGCAAGCGATAGTGCGCCATCAATGGTGTTGATGTGCGTAGTGTGATGTCACTCCTTTTTGCCAAGTTGCAGTAACCCAGCTGCGGTCTTTTTTTTCAGCCAAATACAGGTGTATTTAATTGTGTAAATGGGTTCCAGACACAAAATTAAATGTTAGGTTATAATTAAATAATATAAAACAGGTCGTATAATGTAACTTACAATATAGTTTTTAAAACCTTTCATATTTTAAACAGATAAAATTAATATAATTTATAATTTAATATTTATAACATATTAAAGTTTCGTTGAGAGATGGTTAAAATTTAGTGACTGACTAATTTGAAAGTGTGACTTGCATAATTATATGCATGCAAAATACAATGGACCATCAAGTAATTTGGAACTAGGACAACTCCAAATTATTGAACTAAAACCATTGAGGGACACTTTTGAAGACATGGGGACACTTTTGAAGTCATATTAATTTGTCCTATTTAAGAACAACTAACGGTGACATAAATGCAAATTATTAAACTAAAACTATTAAGGGACACTTTTGAAGACATGGGGACACTTTTGAAGTCAAACTAACGGTGATCTTAAATGCAAATTATTAAACTAAAACTATTAAGGGACACTTTTGAAGACATGGGGACACTTTTGAAGTCATATTAATTAGTCCTATTTAAGAACAACTAACGGTGACAT